GGGAGACAGGTGGAGTATGTATGGTTGGAGGGAGGATCTGTCAATGAGGGAGGGGGAGGAGACTGCAGACTTTGAGGCTGCAGGGAGGGGTGGGGGAGGGGGAAAGAGGGCTCTCTGCTCTCCCTCTGTCCTCCCTGCCCCCACCCCTCTCCTGCAGGCCTTCCGCCACAGTCAAAAAAGGAAGGTACTTTTTCCCTTCCAGCCCCATGCAAGTGTGGGGGCAGAAAGGCAAACTACAGCTACGTCTTGCCCCCCACCAGGGAATTTTGAAAGCCCCCATGCTGTCAGCTCTTTGCCAGGGACAGGCTGGAGGTCAGGGACAGGCTGGAGGTCAAGTGTGTGAGGGTCCGATATACCTGAGCGGCAGCCCCCTGATCAGGCTGGCCCACCTCTTCTACCTGGAAGAGGCTTGGGCTGGACAGCCAAGGGGGTGGCACTCACTCAGGTCGGGGTGACTCTTGGCAGAGGTGGTTTGAGAGTGTAGACCCAGGCAGGCAGGTGGGGAATCTAGACCTGTAGTGGTGGGTGGAGGCAGCTACGCTCTAGACTTCTGTCTCCCATTCTGAGACTTGGGCAGTGATGGCGTAAGGGAGGTGGGAGAAGAGGTGTGCACAGAAAGACTGCTGAGTGGGGGAGAGCCGGCTGTGAGAAGCACAAAGCTCCTGCACTCTCCTTTGGTCACTCAGCAGACCCCTTCTTTGACCTTGGGGTTGTGGGCAGATGTGCAGGGCCCAGTGTCTCAGCTTGGCCAGGGGCCAGGGGCCAGGCAGGAGGGTTGCTCTGGACTCCGGGTAGGGATGGAGTAAGTGGAGTGATGTATCCCGTGTCAGCGTCACCCAAGTCAAGGCTCAGGAGCCCAGTTTTGTTGATGGTGCTGGAAACCAGTAACTGGTCTATCCACCTTCCTCACTGTTCCTGCTGACTGGGTAAACATGGACTTGGGGGTGAGCAGCGACAGCAAACCTATTCCCTCCGATGGAGGGAGGGCTGGGGCTCTCACTCTCTCCGAAGGTCAGAGTTCCATGACCTGCCTCTGCTCTGGCCACTGTGACCCTTACCACATCTGCTACCTGCCAAACTCCATTAGAATCACCAGGGAACTCTCAAACAGATTTCTGGGTCTCATCTCTGACCTACAGAATCTGGAGACTGAGCTTCAGGGCTCTGTCTTTAATAAGCCCCCCAGATCATGCAGGGGAGAGTCAAGGTGCAGAAGCACATGGGGACCACTGCCCTGGCAAAGGAGCAAGAAGTGTGAACGTCTCCAGACCCCACTTCACCCTGCTGACTCCTATCAGTTGCTTCCCTCTAAGTGGGGTGAGGGTGGTCACTGCTGCCCCCTCCCAGGGTGGCTCCAGGCCACAGCCCACAGGCAGCCTAGTGATAGATGGCAATGTAAAGGAGCCAGACATCTGTGGGAGGGGCAGGAGGGGAGGGGACCTTCCACTCTCTGAGAAGGAGGGACGATGAGCCCAGCCCCGGCCTCCCAGATTTGGGTGAGAAGGGGCAGAGGGACTTGGAGCCGAAAAGCAGAGTGCCCGTCAGCTTGGCAGTGGTCCTTAGACAAGCGTCCGCACTCAGATTCACAGCCACTCCTGCCTGCCAAAGGGCAGAGCGCCAGGGGTTCCCACAGGGGAGGTGGGAGGCGAGTCAGACCAGAGTTCTAGGTTCTGGGACATCCTGGCTGTTGTGCTCTTCACCTTGACCTTGCCAATGCCTCTCTCCAGGCTTTGTTTCCTAGTCTGATTATATAACTGATACTGAGATCTGCTGTCATTCCTTCCCCCCACTTCCACTAGGAAGGAAGGCTTTGAGATGGAAGGGTTACCGCTATGCGCCTTTACTGTGGGAGCTGTGAGCATCAGAGGGTCCATCCTCTGCATAGGACTTTTCCAGAAAGAGACAGATGACAGAGGAAGAGGTGGTTGTAACAGAGATGGCCAAAATGTCAGAAATGCCAAAGAAAGATGGCACAATGGGGTGGACTACCCCATGCTGGGTGGAGTGTGTCTGGTGCTAGGTGGTGAGGTCTGAGTTGGACGGGAAGGAGAGAGACATGGTCGGTGCTCTGGGTCTGTGTGCCTGTCCAGGCTCGCGGGGCCAGCACCAGGCCATGGTCTCCACCCCCAGGAGTGGCTGCCCACTCACTACCCTGGCCTTGATGTTGGGAACAGAACTTGGAAAAGGGTCTCAGCACAAAGCTGGTGTTTGCTAAGTGAATGAACAAATAAATGAAGCATGGAAATGTAGAAAAACAAAATAGTTGCTGGGGGGATCCAACTTGGATGTAGAGGGGGCAGAACCCTAAGTTCCCTGACTACACAAATGGGGGTGCTAGAGTCCTCGTTGGGTTCTGGTGCTACCATGTCTTAATCATCCTGACTCCTCAGTCAGGTCTCCACCAGTGGTCTGATAAGAGGGAAACACTGGCAGTGGGGAGGGGAGAGTTGGGGCCTGGAGAGCCCTTCTTCCCCGCTGCCAGCTGTTGGATGGCTCTTTGCAGAGACCTGGGGGTGAGGGGAAGAACCTCTCCTTTCCCTACCACCACCATCCCTTAGAGGTGTGGAACCAAGTTTCTGGGGGGCGGGAGGGGGGAGGAGATGATCTCCAAACTAGAGTGAGCAGGGCTGGGGGCTGGAGTTGGGATGGGAGGGAGCAGATGAAATTCCATTTATCAGAAAATTGCTCTATGTCAGGCCTGTCACTTAAGTGACCTAAAGTATGATGACAACTTCGTGGAGCACATCTGACCTCATTTCATTCACCAAGATAGAGCTGCACACCATGACAAGGCCCATGTCTGTCTTGTTCAACAGTAGAGCTGCAGGTCATTGCTTCCAATGTGGTAGTCGGGATAATAGACTTGGCAGGACTTAGTGAGTGAATGAACAAACGAACGAATGAAAAGCCAAGAGGCTCGGTGTTTACCGGGAACCAGTAAACAGCGCATGTGGACTAGGCTGAAAAGGCCACTCTTAGGAAGACGTGGAAAAACAAGTAAAAGGAGAGAAAGTCTGCTTGGGGTGGGGGTGGGGGGAACAGGAGCTGCGTCATAGTGGAGAAGGAATAGGACTTCTCACACCAGGACTTCTCACGTGAAGACAGGCGGTGAGAGGTACCCCAGGCGGAGGAAAGTGCCCAGGGAAAGAGCCAGAAGAGCCAGGTGCCTGGCAGTTAGTGTGCTGCTGGTTATGAGAATGGAGGCGTGTCGGGAGGTCAGAAGGCGCCCCTAGAAGTGAGGCGGGAGCCAGATCCTGGTGCTGATGGCTGCTCATGTCCCAAGCCAAGGGATGGCCAGCCTCCCGAGATTGTGGGACCACTAAACGTTTCCAAAGGTTTTAGGCAGAGAGAAGTGGGATCAGGCAGCTGCAAGAGGATGGAAGGACAGCAGGGCGGGGAGGGAAGAGTTGGGACTGGAACACCGCCTGGCAGCGAGGACTGTGGAGCTGGGGCCACAGACACAGATGTTTAAGAGGGAAATCTGGCAGAGCCCCTGAGAGCTGGGGCACCTGAAAGGGCTGGGGCGGGGGGAGGCCATCTCTGGGCTTCTGGTCTGGACAGTTTGTGCTCAGGAGGCAGGCCCAGCGGGCTCAAAGGCTAACAAGTGACTGGACCCCATGGGCACCAACCTGCCCAGTGGGCCCTGTGCATCGTGGGCACCTGGGGGTGTGTGATGTGTGGGTGAATGAGGGGTCAGGAGGAGAAGGAGATGCAGCAACCAAGGCCCCCAATGAGGCAGTCAGGCCTTTCTAGTCTGGAAGGGGGCTGGGACAGGAGTCTAGAAACCTGCCACTGTTCTGCACAAAGCTTCAAAGGGGAAATTTTTTAAAAAAGGTTTATTTATTTATACGTACAGAACTGGGGTACAGGCCAGAGGTGTCAGGGGTGAGAGGATTCACCAGAGACAGAGTGGGGAGCAGAACAGGCAGATGGGCGAAGTACACTGCTGAGGGGAGCAGCGGGCGGGTCAG